TTTCCCTTCTGGAGTGGGGAACTTCAACTTTTGATGGTAGGTGGAGTGCACTACTCTAAGTGAGTGCAAACAAGTTCACTCCATGATTATGTTGTAAGGTGAATTAGAATCAATCACCACGAACTCTGTGTCGATCGTGATAGAACCTGTGGTGACTAACAAAGTGATCTTTCCCTAGAGTGAAAGATTCGTTGAACCCAACAGGGGGTGTCTTGACAGCGGTGAGATCCTTGGATCCAATGCCCATTCTCTTCAGCACATTGAGATACATCACCTCCAGGGAGCTTCCAGAGTCAACTAAGACCCTCTTGACGTTAAAGTTTCCTACCCGTAGAGTTATGATCAAGGCATCTTCATGGGGGAAAGACTATTGGCATTCGAGAAGGTGAAATCTCCTTGATTCGTCCGGAGCTTCTTACTTGTTTGGCCCCCATCTTTCTCCTCCACATTCCTGGCAAAGGCTACCCTCTTCAGGTCAGACCTGAGAGTATTGGTTGTCGACCGCTCCAAGGGGCAAACATGGATGACATTACCGCGAATAGGAGCGTGGTCATAAGTGAAATTTGTCTCTCTCGATGTACTCCTTGAGGTATCCCTCTTGGACCAACTTCTCTAAGAAGGACTTGTACACTAGACAATCCTCAGTAAGGCGCCCCACGTCCTTGTGGTACGAACACCTGGCATTCTAGTTCCTAGTGGACGGATCACCCAGTATTTTAGGCGGCCACTTAAAGAATGGTTCCTTCTTGATCTTATGCAACAACTTGTAAATGGGCTCTTTGAACATGGTGTGGATCCCTATGAAGGAGTTCCCCGATGCTAGGACCAAACCCTTCCTCGGAGGGACTCATTCCTTATCCTAATCCTTTTTGTTTGGGCTAAGTTCTTTCCTTTACTCCCTACCAATTCGTCTTCTATCCTAGAGTATTTGTTGATACGGGCCATCAACTTTCTCATGTCCACGAGCGTCCACTTCGTTAATGACCTATAGAGATCCGTGTCCCGAGCCAAGTCGAGTCTGAAAGAGGCCACTACCATGACCTCGGAACATCCGTCCGTCTCATTCACCTCCTCCCAGTAGCGAGCAACGTATTGGCGGAGTATTTCACCTTTCTTCTGCCGGAGGGTCAACAAGGAGCCGACATCCTTGGGGCATTTGCTCCCCGTGATGAACAATGCAGAGAACTGCCTAGTCATCTCCCTCTAGGACCCTATGTTATTCATCGGAAGGGTCTCGAACCACTTCATGGTCGTATCGCCTAGGCTCATTGAAAACACCCGGCACAACAACCTATGATATGAGTGGTATAGAGGCATCAATTGCTTGTATTGTCGGAGATAAGCCTTTGGGTCAGAACGTTCATCATAAACCTTAGACTGCGGCACCACAAACTTTTTTGGTATCTCCACCTCCATGATACTTCTAGTGAATGGTGATTGAATGACTTCGTTGCTTAGGTCGTCATCTGGGGTGGACTTGTCCATCCTTATGGAGTTCAATTTAGACCTCAGGTCCCCCTAGCCCTTGTGGTGCCTCCTTCCATCATAGTCACGATGGCCGGCATGCCTCCCGACTCCTCCATTCTTTACGGAGAGGGTCGACCCCTTATCGGACTCCTCCGCAAGCCTTCGCCCGGATAGTCTTTGACGGAGGCCGTTCCAAGCCAAGGGTCTGGCCCTCTTTGCTGGGACTCCGGGACCTGTCCATTGGCCCTCGGGCATTTGGGAGTTTTGGAGCCCCATGCTCTGCCATTGAGGCTGTTCCTGAAGTCGCCGGCCCCTACCTCCTTGATGGAGGGCTCCTTAGATGATTGCGATTTTCGAGAAACATAGTCGGAGAGTGCAAATTCGTTGAGTCTGTTGAGAACATTTACGTTGTTCTCCTCAATCTGCCTCAAGCAGTCCCTCAACCAATCTTCGATGAAGTTGACAAGTTAACAGGCTAGGGGCCCATCCATTTCACCCCCAAGGCTTAGTTCAGTTTGGCGGGTTCTTTCTTTAGAATGGATCGAAAGCTTCTTGTTGACGCTTTCGACCTGATCCTTTGTTTGTGAAATGGATAGAGCTAGCACGTCCATGGTCCTCTGTTGAGGACCCTTTCCTTTTAAATGCGTATTCACCATGGTCACTATCACCGAAAAACTTGGTTATTTCCCACAGATGGAGCCAAATTGTGCGCAATGATTTTCGCACAGTAAATAGATTGACAGATCTCTCCCTTGATGAACTTGAATTTGCTTGGAAAGTTGAGGTTCCCCAGCAAATGGGTGTTGAGAGATGGTAATAGAGGATGATGGAACTCTTTGCAAAATTGCTCTGGTCATTCTTAAGTTATCGAACTGAGTCTTGTCACTCAAAAAAAAGGTAGGAGGGCACCAGAGTGTGTTCTGGTGTGACCCCTCTGACGATCAAGTCAGTATTTGATAGAGGGTTAGAAAAACATTGTTTTATTACTTGGGTGAGATTTTGCGTGTCTTAGACTTGTGTTTGAGAGTGTTATTCATACCTCTCTAGAGTTAACCATTGCAAACAACTGGGTCCCTTAGAGGGAAGACTCTTCATTGGCTCACTTGGAAGGCAACATGTGGTGCATTGTCCTTGAGCAGAGTGCCTTGCTTTTCACGCGGCAAAAGCTTATGCATATAGTGCCTGAATCCCCGAACATTTAATGCTCGTTTTTCTGACTTTGTCAAGCAATAAATATGTTTCATCCTTTTGTTGGGTCATTTAATGAGCTCTGGTTGTGGCTGCGCAAGCGCAGAGACACTTTCATCCATCACCCCCAAGGGTCAATAATTACATATCTTGTACACCAGACGTCTTCCTCATTGGTTGCTAAATTGTCTTTGCAACCATTTTGGCTGCCTTGGAAAGGGGAATTGATGATTAATAGATAATCCAATCTCTAATGTGGTGACGCCATTCTTGATTCCTTTAAGAACTTAACCATTTGGCATAGGCCAAGCGCCAGGATGATTGTCAACACCTAGGCGGAGTGGGGACTCGACGTCGAGGACGCATGTCAGGAGGAGGGATCCTCGTGGGATTTGGGACACCAAGGACGGGTGTCAAGTGACGAATGTTCTGTGAGGGACTCACGCCAAGGACACTTGTCAGTCTCAGAGAGATCTGAGGAGTCTTGAGTTGAGGACACGTGTCGAATTATAGAGGGTCCGATTCTTGTTGCGCCGAGGACATGCGTGGATTCATGGAGGCTCCATGCTCATCATGCCGATGACACGTGTCATCTCCCCATTAATTCGTGGAAACATCTCATCAATTATATTTTCCTGCCCGCTTAGAGTTATTAGGATTTTGCATGGCCTTGTGTCTTGTAGGCTATTTATACTATTAGAATATCCCAATATGGTTTAGGTTTTTTTTAGATATTCTATTACCTTATTTTAATCTTCTAGGATATTCTTTTCAAATTGTCCCAATGCGGTTTAGATTTTTTTTAGATATTCTAGTACCTTATCTTAATGCTATTGGACACATAAATGTCAAGTATAGGATTAAAGCGAAAAGCACAGAGTAGTTGATCAATTGTATAGATTTAAATAAATCACTACAAGAATTATGGAAAAATCTGTCATTTAATTTTTAACGTTTAACTTAAATGCCACTAAAATTGACGTTTGTTTCTATATGCCAGATAATATTAATAAAAATAATAAAAAAAAATTTTGCTTAATTTCTGGCGTTTAAGTCAAACGCCACAAATTCTTTATTAAAAATAATAAATTTTTTTTTCCCTCCCCCAACATAAACTTAATAAAAAAAAAATTCGTTTAATTTTTGGCGTTTAAGTCATACGGCACAAATTCTTAATTAAAAATAATAAATTTTTTTTTTCCTTCCCCAACATAAACTTAATAAAAAAAAAATTCTCTTAATTTCCGGCGTTTAACTCGAACGCCACAAATTCTTAATTAAAAATAATAATTTTTTTTTTTCCTATACCAACGTAAACTTAAATTTTTTTTCAATTCATTCTCTCGACTTCTCTGGGGACGACTCTCACCGGCTCTTCTCAGGCGACAACTCCTCGTCATCCCTCTCACAAGCGACTCCTCTTCTTTGGCTCTCTCTGAGGTGACTCTCTGATCGTTTTCTCTCTCTCTCAGCACGCATTGTGCTGTGATCTATAAGTACCTTTACACATTCTGAGCTCTATTATTGTGTTTTATCTATCTAACCTTTTTACCATTTCGCTTCTTGTTGAATTTGTGAAGGTTTAGTTTAATTTGGTGCAGATTTTTCATTTATTTATTGATTCTGATTTAACTTTGGATAATTTTGAATTCATACAATGTACTAGATCTCTGATGAACCGAAGTCATCCCGCTAGGCATTTAATATATTATGCTTTGGTCTGTAAATAGATCTACATAAACTGTTTTTAACAAGTAACTAGTCTTAATTAGTCTCCTCAGAATGATTGGATTAAGATGGTTAGAACCTCTCTCATCATTTTTGACAATAAATTTATGTTTATAAATTTATCTTTATGAGATTTCATCATTATGCATTTTTCAGTCTTTGAGTTACCATAGAAGTAAGTGGGAATGAGGATGGGTTAACACTTCAATTTTATGACCTTTTTCCAAACTTTTTGGCAACTTTTCAGGGAGAGATTACACACACATGCATATACTTCTGTGGTGGGTGATTATTCTGTTGTCAGAAATCAAATTGCATGATATCCTAAATACACTCACAGGTTTGTTTGCAAACTAAATTAATCAATGCAAACTTCATTCTTTATGTCGTGATTTGTTATTCCCAATGATAAGAAATTCAAATGCAAAACACAGGTATGCCGGCTGTCCAAGATACATGCATATTAATCATTAGAAATTTAGAACTAAGAAAATTGTTGAGGATGAACACCCCAACTCAATATTCAGGGAATTCCTGTTTAATATGTATGTAGTTAGTTTTCATGATAAACCAGCCATATGATAAATAAACATGTAGGAAACTCCTGTTTAAATAACTGCCCATCCAGGGTCTTCAACTCCAATGCACTGCCATTCTGGTGTTGCAATCAGTGGAGTACTTTTCCAGTGCTGTTGTTGCATCCTGTAAATCAAATTTCTCCACATTTAATGTTGAAGTATGCTCAATCACTTCAACATGTGGTTGTGATGTTCTGTGATGTAATTTTTCTATATCCTTACTCGAAACACTCTTTCATGTGCATGGGTCACTCTTTCAATGAAGTGGGTAGTTGCTGGTATGAAGTAGAGAAATTTAATTATCCAAGAAGTCTGGGCCATCCATCCGATGATTTGTGTTTCTGCATCTCGGTAACTTTTCCTCAGTATTTGACTAGAATATAATGTCTTGCTGCTGCTTAAACATATGTATGATGGTATTTTTATCACTATTTATAGGTCTTCCAACAAATCCCGGGCACACTTTTGGTGAAAGGATCATTGCAGCTTAAAGAAAGCCCAGTCTCAGGTAGTCACCTATCTTTCTTGTCGAAGGGTGTGCTTTAATTTAAACAGAGTTAATTTAGCTGTTACAATAGCACTCTAACTACCTTTAACTGCTATTCTGTAACCATTTTGCTAGAAGCATAGTTCTCAACTTGACAAAACAAAGCCTTTGTTCTATTTTCCATTAGAACAACTTTCTTCATTTTGCTCACAAACTTGGTATTTATTGTCTTACTGGTGTCATAACGCCTTCTACCTGAGCCATGCTACACCTATGCCGGTTTCATCATTTTATCATCATCACCTCTGTGTCTCATAGGTGATGCCTGCTTCTTTTTGGACTTCACTGGTGATGCCTAGTTCAGCCTCCTCTGTGTGGATATGTAAACAATTTAAGATCACGAGGCCAATGGGTGAGGAATTTTCTAGGCTCAACCCTTGCAAGTTTGTTTTATCTACTACTGTTTCTAGGTTGACAGTTTTCAGTTTGCATTTTCTTGGATTATTAATGGCAACTTCAGCGGTTGCCAACATTAGTCTGCTACATGGGGAAAACTTAGATTAATGTTCTATTGTATCACAAATTTTCTTACATCAAATTAATAAAAAACTTGTGTATATTTGTGCTGGATAAAAATCAGTGTCTACTTCCATATGAGTTACTTTTCTGCAACCAAGTCTACGATGCATTCTTAATTTTTATTTACAGGGGTTTTTTGTTGCTGGGGCTTTCTCATTGATATTCCAGCAATTAGAAGTAGTTTTGAAAGATAAATTTTGTATTGAGAAGGCATCAGCAGCTGCCTCGTACTCTAATCGTTCACGATAACAGTGTATGATTTGCTGAACTCATACTTGTAAGATTAAAATTTGTACCATATTTTTGGGATATTTACAATGAAAATGTCAGAATTCAACTTGTAGCAGTAGAGTGGCAAAAACGCATAGCATACAATGTTTATTATAATTTTCATGGTTATGTGATGATTTCTTGTGTCATTAATTGTTAATAATATTAATTGCGGCTGTTGTTTTGTTTTATACACAATTTCAGCTTTGTTTTTTTGATCACTTGAGGTTGTCTACATGTCTCTTCCTGTTTATTGTTGTCTGATCATTCTGCTTGCTTGAGGGCCTATTTGTTTCCCACGATCTTGTTCCTGTTCCATTCATTCCATACTGCCTGACCACACCCACATTCATGATTCTTATATCTGACTGGTTGATCCCATAATTTCACTGAGATTTCTGTTGGATATCTCTTACCTACCCAGGTTTTAGGATAGCAGCTGAAATGACTCCTTTTCGAAAAATTAAGTTTGATGGATTTTTTATGGCTGCCCTTTGTGCTGTGTTAGGGTACTTTGTTCCTGTGAGGAAGAACAAAGACGGTGGTGGTGATTTCTAACCAAAATTGATTTGGGGATTTTTTCTTGAAAATTTAGTGTGGAAAATATCTTTTCTTGTTGAAAATTTCTAACCAACATGGCTGCTGAATTTAAGGCTATGTTAGATGGTTTAAATATGCTGGTGAGGTATGGTTTGGAGGGATATCAAGTATTGATTGAATCACTCTTTAGTGGTGGCAAACACTATTAAAGGTATGTTTCAGTGTTCTTGGCCTTATATGGGGATTATGGAGCAGATTGGGAAGCTGTTAGCTGGGTTGCATTTTCAGTTGAGACATGTTTACCGAGAAGCAAACTTTGTGGCAGATAGCTTGGCTAATAAGGCGGTTCAGGATGGGTTCTCCTCTGACTATAGTTCGATCCAGTTGCTTGCACTGGTAAGGATGAAGCATTTACAGGATCAGAGGTGCTTACCTGTTTTGCGTACAAAAACTGTGCTGTGCTGCTTTTTGATGATGGTGGCCAAGGAGCTGGAGTGATGGTGGTGAAGCAGGTCTGCTGAAGCTTTTTGAGAGGCTTGTGGGTATGCTGAAGAGGCCAGTGGGAGCTTACTGCAATTTTTTGGTTGTTTTGTGAGTTTTCTTGATTGTAAAGCTCAAGGCAGTAGGTTGTTTTGAAGGTTTAAAGCCAAGTTGTGGCTTATCTTTTTTGCTTCTTGTAAATATTTCTGTTATTCAATAATTTTTTTTACGAATTTACCCTTAACGGTCATAGCATTATACATGTTTAACCTCTATTAATTTATATATACACTTTATATACACCGGTGAAGCCCACCCACCTTTTATTTTCTCTACCGCCCTTTCCATTTCTCTTTCTTTTTCTCACGTCGGCCTCCACCACCCGTCTCTCCTTTGACCAATCGGTGGTGAAGGCAATGCTAACTGCTAAGCAGCTAAGGTATCGATTGGAAAATAGGGTCAACAACGTTTGTTAAATTGCGAAGCTCTCTTGACCTGAAAATATGATTAGAAACACTCATTTGTCAACACGAATATGTAGCAAGTATAATTATCTCCTTGGGCAACACTAATATGTAATCTCTGGCACTAATTAATCTGTATCTATACTACTAATAAAATTACTTCAACATGAAAAATAAATTTTGATTCTCAAATTTGTCCTTGATTATTATTTCAAAGCCGATTTAATCCCTAATCCAATAATTAACATAATTATAATCAATTTAAGTTTTTGAACCTACGTATTTGGGGATTAAATTTCTAACTGATGTATGATTCAATTATTAATTAAGCTTGGGTCACTTCATAGACTTTTTAAATTCTAAGAATTAATTTTTAACCCATTGGACCTCTATATATTCTCTATTATTTCACACTACAAATTGATACGGACTCTATGAATTCTTTCGCATCAATGATCAATGTATTAGATATTAACTCGAGACCTTCCATTTAAGCATTAATATTTTGCTTCCTTTGTAGAATGATAGACAAGGTGAATGGGTCCCTCTTCCAAAGTCCTCCGGTTTAATCTACACAATATGATCTCTCTTATATGTATGCATGTGTTTAATTTTGTGTGTGTATATATATAACTGAGTTGTTTTTATTTTATTTTAAATCTGATTGACTTCGTCTATGCATGTGTTAAGAGCATTATCTAATATAGAGCACAAATAAAATCAAATATTGTAGTAGCAGTAATAAAAACATGTACCCTAAATGGTTTTTGAATTGAGGTATACACTTAATTCTTTCTTCTTCTTTTTAATTTGATATTCATGTTAATACTGGTCATGCATATAAACAAAGAGACCATACCATTTATATATTTGTGTCGAGACATATAGAAAATTTTTTAATTTTTAATTTTATCCTTAATTAATAAAATAAAGTTAATCATATACTTTTCTATTTCTTTAGAATGATTAAATATAATAGGTTAATAGTTATTGAAATATATTCAATAAAGAGAAAAAAAAAAGTTCCTATGCAATAGAAAACTTTTCTTACTCTTTCCTTCATATAAAAGTAGATTACGCATATAAAACCAACAGTTTTGTCTCTAATTAGCCCATATGTTGTAATGATGGTAGTTAGTTTTTGATACTAATATTTTATTTTATAATTTTTTTATTGAAGGGGAGGAGGTTCTAATAAAATATGAATATTGGATATTTAACTTGTTAATGTTTATTAAAGTTGTGGATTTTATAAGAAGAAAAGTGATCAACAACTTTAATATATAACATTTTATACACAAAAGAGTATACATATAACAAACGTGGACAAAAAACTAATATAAACATATATAAATTTGCAACAACAAACTATATAATCACCTAATTAAGTTTAGGTGGTGGTGGTGGTGGTGGTGGTGGTGGGTTGCTCGCGGTTCTGGGTATGGGGAAAGACATGGACAGAGACATCTTTGGGTGGGTAGGTGCTTGCATGCTTGACACAAAATATACAAGTGAATTAGCCTCCTTGTTACATTTTGTGTTCTATAAAACACTAAGGGCGAGAGTGTAAGGGTCTAAACATGAATATTACATCCAAGTACTTGAGTACAAATGTGGGTTTTTTGTACCATGAATAAGACATGATTAAAGTGTCCACGATCTTAGTATACTACAATAATCTATTCTCAAAATGGTTTACGTCCAACATTATACATAATGATAAAATATGTATATATATTTTAAAAAATTTTAAAAATTAATTTTTTTAAAAAAATAAAAAATAAAAAATTTTAAAAATAAAAATTTTAAATTAAAAAAAAAATTTAATCTTAACTAAAGGTGAAAATTTTCAACTCAACACGATGACACAACTCGAACTCGATACGAAAATAAATATAAATAGGTTATCTCGCAACCCGACACGACACAATTAGTTAAATTAGTAAAGTTAAGTTTGACTAATATTTGACACAAACTCGTAATGACTTAACACGAATTTAACATGATACGACTCGTCACCTCTAATTTTAGCCGGTACAAAAAAAAAATAATCATTTTTATTTTTCATCCATCCAACCAAACACAAAGGAAGGAAAGCGTATCCTTCCTACTTTTTATCCTTAAAAGATAGAAAGTGTATCCCTCCTATTTTATATCCTTCCTATTTTTCATCCTCTCTATCAAACGGAGCATAAAGGCGACAGTGTAAGGGTCTAAAATTGGACAATAATAGAGTTTTAAACATGAATATAACATCCAACTACTTAAGTACAAATGTGAGTTTTTTGTACCACCAATAAAACATGATTAAAGTGTCCACAACCTTAGTATACTATAATGATTCATTTTCAAAATAGTACACGTGTAACACACATATGTGCTACAACTAGAATATAAAAAGTCTACAATTATAACCCTTCACTCACCCAATTAAACCCATCACTCGCAAGTCCCAATTAACTAAAATCTACTCAATCAATATGTTATCAAAACCATCCAAAAAAATTATTAATTCTACAAGAATTCATATAATATCTCATCAAGAAATTTGAAAAAAAAACATTTTCTTTTAACATTATTTTTTGTGTTAAAATCGAATTTTATACATATATGTGTGTGTGTACCACTTTGAACTTTAAATAACAATAGAATAATGTTATTTAAACATAATTTATTGACTTAATCATTCATAATCATTGAATTGACAATAAATTATATTTATTGAACCTCACAACCAATGTAATGATTATAATAAATTTTGTCAGAGAGATTGAAAGTTAGACATCCAGTCAACTTTAAAATTTTCATGAACCATTGAATTACACATGGATGGTCAATACTTCAACGATGTAGTTTAAAGATGCAACAGTAAATTTAAAGATGCATAGATACTATTTTTATCAGTACAACAAATCTAAAAAAAGACTTCAATATCATACTTTCATAAAGATATATCAAGTGTAAAATTTTATTATTCTATTTTCTTTTCTCTCAATGGTTTCAAAGCATCTAAGATAAAATCTACG